ACTGTCTCCGTTTAAAGTAGGAGATGACCTTGTAATCACCTGCAGCACCTTTATCCAGTAATTCTGTATACCACTTTTGCTTTGCCAGTGCGCGAAGCTGAACAATGCGTTGGCTCATGTTACGACCCTCTGTGCCTCTAAGACCTTTCCTTTCACGGATGAGGGCGCGGATTTCAGGGGGGTCGCGATAGCGACAAGAGGTATCACGAAAAGAAGCCTTGGAACAAGCAGAAGTAAGTTTAGACATGGTTAGGTCAGCCATATTCAATTCCAATTGCTCAGCCAGGTCATTACAGCAATCAACCGCTTTGGAGGTGTTAACGCGCCATTTACCACTGCGGTGTCTGTCTGGTTTTCTAGGCTTCGTGTGTGTGTGAGGCTGGAGACTTTGGGACAACAGCACAGCTTGATGATCAGATCCAATGAGTTTGTCGGTGTCAGGCACAACCCGGAAGTATGACTCAGCAACAAAAGGTTGAGAAACTAGGACATAGTCGATCCTAGAATGGGAACCCCTACTATTGGACCAGGTGGGCAGGTCAGGCCTCCAGAACTCAAGACCATTGGATCTGATCAAAAGGTTGCTGAGTGAGGCCCTCTCATCGCATGCATCTGCATCTTCAGTGAATTCTGCAGCACCTAATTCATAATTAGCATCAATGCACACAATTAACGAATCATGCAGCCGTCTCGCATGCAAGAAGGCATCTAATTCAGTCTGAAAGGTCTGCCAGAGGTCAAGACAATCTTCTCGCTGTTTGTGAGGCAAGTGAGCCGATACGAAAAATCTTTTCATGGAATCATTCTTGATCAAGACCCCGATACCTACGGACAGTACAACGACTTCAGCCACAAAAGGAAGAAGACGGGCAGGAAAGCCAATAGCAATCGCATGATGTGTTTTGGGATGATTGGTTACATAGAACCCCCAGTTCCCATCAAGCCGGATGTCATGAAGTTTCCACGGTTCCGACTGGTGGGAGTATCCACCAAGCTCCTGAAGTCCTAGGACGTCTATTCCTTCAAGGCCTGCCTGATCCCAGCAAGACTGAAGATCCTTTAAGGATTTCCCTTGCAAGTTCCAACTAGCCGCATGCACATGAATTCGTTTGTTCAGCTGTCAGGATTGCTGCGTCGTGTCACTTCCATACTGCAAGTAGCATTCTTGAAGGGAGTCTGCAGGTCTGTTGGTAGCCTGACTGAAAGCAGCGGCACTAATAAACCATTCCATATGATTGCCTCTATTATCAGGGAGAAAAAGATCTCCTGAGCAGGCGTCCTTTTTGTCAATATGATGCAGAACTTGAACATGGTTCAGAAAGACCCTGCCCTGCCAGAGAATCTCAGGTTCAGCAACCTTGCACCCCTGAAATGGAGGAATTCTCTGGAAAAAGACTTTGGTCAGAACGCATGCCCTGATACGCAATCGTTCTTCAAGGCTCTTGTTCTTTGTTACCCACAACTTGCAGCTTGATTGACCCTGGATACCACTTTTAAAGGAATTTCCTTTCAGGGCATCAATGACAGAGTTCTGGTATGCACGAAGAACTGAAATGTGAGCGTTCTCGTCTGGGAAGATCAAGCTAACCCTGACAAAGTTGGTGCGAGACGCAGGTGCCCAAAAGTCAGCCCAGCAGTTATCATGCCCACAAATCTTCATCATGTGCTTAACTTCCTCAAAAGCATCAGTTTTTCTGGCGTCGGTCCATCCTCCAACAACAATTTGTAGGCTGTCAGTGTCAGAGTGGTCATCAGCAGCGAAATGCGGGGATCGGGGACTACGGTGGCCTCCTCCAGCACTCTGCCTACGAGTGGGGGTGCCTGGGCCTCGTGTTGGTGTAGGGGATCGGGAAGGACGATTCTGAAGTTCCCTTACTTGTTTCTCAAGCTCAAGGATCCTAGTCTTGGTGGACTCATGAATTTGAGTGTGTTCCTTCACTCCGGCCTCAAGTGTATCAAGTCTAAGCCCATGACTTTGAAGTTCGTTCCCGAAATCCAAAACATCAGCATGGGTCCTATCCTGCTTCTGATGCAACGCTGCCATAGAGTCCATGAGATCTGCAATCCACGGTGGAGCAAGGCTCTGTGCAGATTGATTCTGCTGAATCAGGTGATTGAGGGGGGTGGTAGGTACTGGGCCCATGGCAGGCGTAGGGGCACATATCCCATTTTGTTCACCATCTGGGACGAGCTTATTGTGATTGCCGTGCACTTCAAGGTCATCATCAGGGTCTTGCTGAGTCAAGTCGTACAGGATAGGAGGGCGGGTATTCATGAGCTCATCATCACGTTCTTTAGAATACGGATTCACAGCTTCAGGGTTCAGGACATCGGAGGCATGATCTCGATCATGTTCAAGCTTCACCTTTTTGAGGTCCTGTTCCGCCGAGCCTGTGGAACCAGTAGATCCGTTCGAGGTGCGTCTATCCGAGCGCTCTGGACGATTCGAGCGGTCAATGCGCCTACTTCTCTCACGAGTGCCTTCCCGCTCCTGTCTGTCTCTTCTTTCTCCTCTTCCCCTGACTGCGGATTGATTCTCGAGCACTCCCTGATGGGAGACAACATTCTGTCTGGCAGCGATCGACGCAGCGTGAGGACATGCAACCGACTTGTCATCTGCAGGTGTCTCTACTCTGGCAGCAGCACAAGCATCATTCTCATGGTCAGCAACACCACCAATGGGAGGGAGCTGAACTGACCCGGATGCAGCATCAATCTTGGCTTTCTCGTCGGGATGCCCCCATTGCCCGAAACCAACACGAACATTCGGTGGCATGTCTCCCCAGGGTAGTAGCACACAATAGCAAACAGTCACTGAGAGCCGAAAATTACTGTAGCCATTTTAGTGGTAGTAGTAGTAGTAGTAGTAGTAGTAGTAGTAGTAGTAGTAGTAGTAGTAGTAGTAGGAGTAGTAGTAGTAGTAGTAGTCGTGGTAGCGGTAGCGGTAGTGGCAGTGGCAGTGGCGGTGGCAATTCCCTGCCACTCCAAAACATACATACAGTAGTAGTAGTAGTAGTAGTAGTAGTAGTAGTAGTAGTAGTAGTAGTAGTAGTAGTAGTAGTAGTAGTAGTAGTAGTAGTAGTAGTGGTAGTAGTAGTGGTAGTAGTAGTAGTAGTAGTAGTAGTAGTAGTAGTAGTAGTAGTTTTTTTTGGCTCCCACTTGTCAGAGTAGTAGTAGTAGTAGTAGTAGTAGTAGTAGTAGTAGTAGTAGTAGTAGTAGTAGCAGTAGCAGTAGGAGTAGGAGTAGTAGTAGTAGTAGTAGTAGTAGTAGTAGTAGTAGCAGCAGTAGCAGTTGTTGTTGTTGCTGCTGCTGTTGCTGTTCTTTCTCTGTCTTCTGGCTCTTGCTTTGTTGTCAACTCGAAGCCTCCGCCGACTAGCGGGGTGCGCACACAGATTGGATCTGAAGAATCTGCATCAAGAACGCAGCTTGGGGCATGTGCAGGACACTGGGAGTGGCCAGGTGTGTTCGTCCGTGGACAGTCAGGTTATGCTTCCCCATGGTTACATGCTGATTTCCTCTTGCTGCTGCTGCCGTTGTCGTTGTCCTGAGAGTCAGGGCGGGGCTTGATCCTTTGCTGCCTCTTCAGGCTTCTTTTGCTGGGGGCATTCCCTTCTTTTCTTGTGAGCGTTTGGTGCTGAAGGGTTTCTACAGGGGTCAATGTGGTGGCCTGACCGTGCCTTATCTACAAGCAGTTCAGTGATGTTTGCATCAGTCAACAATTCCTCCTTCCCGATATTTATGCATGCTGGACCAACGATAAAAACAATGTTTCAGGACAAGCAACATGGATACGGGTAAGACAGGGCGCCGGGCTGTGTTCATAACACCTCAGCTGCACAACTTAACTTCTGATCCCGACGGGAGGACAAAGATCACAAGCTCCGAAGACAAGAAAGCACAGTTCGCACCATCTGTGCTATACCCTACAGCTTGCCCAGACCAATTATGAGGATTCCAGCCTTGCACTCCTGAAAAACGACGAAGTATATCCTTATGCACTTGTCGTGGTAGTCGTGGTGGTCTTAGAGTATTAGTGGATAATTGGTGGCATCGCTTGCCCACACACACATTCATGCACGCAAGCGCTGAGTAGCAGCAGTAGTCGTCGTCGTCGACGTCGCGGTGGTGGTAGTGGTGGTGGTGGTGGTGGTGGTTGCGGTAAGGGGTGGCGCTGAACCTAGCAGCGTGCCAGTACCAGCGCAGCAGCACTAGCATGGAGCACGAGTAGCAGCAGAAGCGGAATTACAGTAGTAGCAGTAGTAGGTGCAGCGACAGCAGCAGCAATAGTTTCAGCAAAAGGCCACCTGCTTCTGCTTCGAAAGCCGCAAGGTGTGCAAGGGGGTTATGTTATGCCCCACTGCTATTGATATGTTCTACTTGCATGTCTGGCTGCCGAGTTCAAATGAATCATCTGGACCTTGCACGCTCCAGCCTTCTGCCCGCGACGTGTGCTTTACCATTGCCGGCTTCACAGGGCGGTTGTGCCGCCCAAGCAGCTGGCCCAACAGCAGCGATGAAGGACGCACCACTAAATTGATGTTGCTGCCGTCATGTGCAAGATGACATAATGCTGATTTAAAGAAACTTGAGTTGCTGGATTGCTGGACTATGAAGACACAATTTCGAGGGCAGGCCAAATGCCAAAAGAACTTCGGCAGCCAGAGGGAGCATTTACGGATTTCGCACAAACACAAACAACGACTCACAGATCGACCCTGCTGATTTGCCTCCAGCTCCGAGCAGGTCTGCAAGCATTGTTTTCACTTGGTGGGCTTCACAATCCCTCTCCTGAAAAAGACCCGATACATCGCCTTCCACACCCGACAACAAACAAACACAAACAACAACTGCTGCCCAGATTTTGGAGCAGGGGGCTGACAGGCACTGTTCTAGTTCCCATGGCAAATGAAACCGGCGGAGAAGTCTAATGAGCAACGGCGAAAGCAGTCATCACTTAAAACAACACAGTTTCCGTCAGAAATTTTCTTTGGGCCGACGACGCGAGGAGGTCAAACTTCTCCATCAAGGCCACTTCTCCATCCTGCAGTCTTAGGCTTTGTACACTCGGACAACGCCGGGCGCGGTCTGAAGGCAAGACTCTGGTCTCTCTACCGTTGATGTGGAAGAGGTCATGGGCTTGCGTCGTGCGTAATGCATGAATCATGCGCCCCCCGTTAGGGCCATAGGGATTCTTTGTTGAATCCGTTCAGGGATTCATTCCTCTGTGTAATGAAACCTTGGCTACAAGTGCTACCACGCAGCCATACGCAGCCGCAACATCGGACTGGGGGCGCTCGAGGAGCCAGTCTTCTCTAGTTCTCAATCTTCCAGAAGTGCAACTGGTTCGCGCCTCTTTAAGTTCTGCACACAGACTTCCTGTCCAAAGTTTTGAATTGCAAATGTCTGGGAGCGTGCTGGGGCCCTGCTGACCTGACCTGCATCGTTTCAGTGTCTGGCTTACTCAGATTCGTCAGGGCTCTCTCTCTCTCTCTCTCTCTGTCTCTCTCTGTCTCTCTCTGTCTCTCTCTCTCTCTCTCTCTGTCTGTCTCTCTCTCTCTCTCTCTCTCTCTCTCTCTCTCTCTCTCTCTCTCTGTCTCACAGTTGAAAGAGGCGCGTAAGTCTCTCTGAACATGTCATACGTAACATTTCTGCAACAGAAAGCTGGGATGCAAGGGTATCCTGCTGATGTCGTATGATGCAGTGTCTACTTGCCAATCCCGAGTAACGAGGCTGAGGCGTAGAAGGATCCGCGAGAATCCATAAAGACCTCGAACAAGGACACGGGATTGATTTCGTGTTTTGCCAGTATTGCCATGTCAGGGGCTTGCCTTAAGGCGCATCTATGCGCATTTCATAGTAGGCATAGAATTGTTCCCACCCTGAGAGTATGAACCTGAATTGCCTTCACACCGGTACGTGCTGCGATCTGCCCGACGGTTGTAAAGTGTTGTAAACGATCCCAGTCCAGTCTCCACAGTAGCAGCAACCCACTCGATGAAATCAATCGTGGAGGAAGCAGTTCCAACGAATGACAACTCCAAGCACAAGCTGCACCGCTAGTGACCTCGGACCATCTCAGCAAGATGTGCATGTGGAGACTGCTCATGAACATCACATTCGTCCCTGGTGTACTTCTTGGAGGCTGTTCTTGTCGCCTGTCGCCTGACTGACGATGGACCACCCCGATCAGAAACTCTGAGTCGTCTTGTGAAGCTTCTTACGGTGCATTTTGGAGGCTCATCCAGGGGTCGTGCTTCTCAGCCTCCGACCGCTTGAAAAGTGTTGCCGGCAAGGCGTGGTAACAGGTGCTCACTGTGACCGACGCGAACCTGCGAGTGTCGGACCGTTTGGCTTCTTCAGGCTTGAATGGTTTCGGCGAGGCGAAGCCCTGCTGTGACCACTGACTGCCTGAATCCGGGTGTCCTGAACTTGGAACCTGAATCGCTGCGCCCCTCTGCGGCCCTGCGAAGCTAATTATCTGCTGCAAGACTGGAGTAGCCGATAAGCTCTCCTGGTCGATGATCGGCGGAAATGTGCAAGGACGCGGTAGCGACAACACGCCGAGCTAATATGCAGAACAGCAAATAACCGCGCCTTCGCCCGTCCGGATAATCCAGCAAACTCCAGCATCACCGTTGCCTCAACGACTGTACGACACATCATTGCTTGTGACTTCATGCCTGTGAATGCATTTCCTCGAGTACACACTTTGCACTTCCTGAAGCAACTCCGCGTGTCAGCCACGTAACTGGGACAAATCCGCTTACGTACAGACTTACTTACTTACCTACCCTTCCGTAACCCACGTCTCCACGTTGTTTTGTAGGAAGGGAAGGACAAGATGCTGAGAGAGGACTCGTCTCTTGAGTTGTTCTCGTCTTCCGCACTAATATCGTTGGTCCCACAAGCCTAGCACGACTTGGATCCTACGGAGTGGGAAACTGTTTCGATCAAAATGACTCTCTGAGACAGAAGCTACCACAGCATGGACCGGCTCATTCTCCAGGGAGGTGATCTCAGCTCCGCATGCGTGACAAACATCTTCGGCCGAAAAGCAGATCCGCCTGTGCATCGCCGATGGGTGTATCTTTCACACGAACCCGCCACGACGTTGCTTCGTTGCGCTCGGCATAGACGATATGTTCCGTGCTTGAATGGGAATGCAAGGTTTTCTGAGCGAGCCAGCAGAAGGGGCAGCTGAAGACTCGACTAAGCCTCCAGCAGTTACGTTGCTTGGAACAGCCTGGGCTCAAGCACCCGCACAACAGCTTCCCTGAGACATACATGTACATGTGTGTTTCCATCTGTTAAAGCCCATCCAGCCACCCGAGAGCCTTTCTACCTGGCTGTCGTGAGGCACGTCTGTCGACCGACAGGGTTGTATATACTTGACTGGCGGATGTATTCACTCTGTCACTCTGTGCCTCTATACCTGTGCATGCATGCAAGTATGTACGTATATGTATGTACGTATGTATGTGTGCATGTCAGTGCATATGGGTTTACATATATATATATATATATGTGTGTGTGTGTGTCTGTATGTATGTATGTATGTGCATGCTACCCCCCCAAGGACTAACAGTTGAAAAGCCACAATTGAAAACATTGCGAAAAGCCAAACTTTTCCGACACTTCCAAAAAGTCTGAAAAGAAGTCTTGGAATTTTGGAATTCCAACAATCCAAAACTTGGTTGGGTGGGTTTATATTTTCCTGCCTCTGAATTGTCGGAGTTTTGGAATTTATCCCTAAGTCTTCCTTCTCTCTCTCTCTCTCTCTCTCTCTCTCGATGCCACTCTCTCGCACGTTCTCAGGGATCGCTGTCAGACTCCTTGTGTTGAGGTTCTTGTTTTATTCGATTGGACTTAGTTTGAGCACCCACGTGCTGCTTAAGTCGTGTCGTTTGCCTGAACCAATATGTAACAAATCTGAACTCCAGTATTGACTAAAATTAGCTGAGCTCGTGATTAACATATTACCATATATATATATATATGTATCCGGTGTTTCAATATCGTAGATTAATAGCCGATACAATAATGCATGTTCGAAACCTGATCAATGCCTACTCTATGTTAGGTACTGAAGTGTGCAAACTTAAGCATGTCTAGTTACTGGTTTAACAAGTAAATCAGAATTCACGAGTATGTTCACAGACAGCTTATCCAACATCTCATGTTGAGTTATCTAAAGCCTCGTTGGTATACTGTTCATAGACATGTGCAGACAAGTACATGCTAAATCATCTCAGATCTAGCAGGTGTGCAATGGGTCATACATAAGATCTTGAACCGGATCTAAACAATCTTCATCGTGGCATGGTGTTTAAGAGCCAACTAAATTACCAATACGTTGAACACCGCGTGTCAAGTTCAGTCACAATACATGCCGAAATGTGAAAGCAACACGGGTGATGGTAAACCAGCGAGCAGCTCAAGATTTCATATAACTTGGCAGTATTTATTTGCTATATTGCTCAATTTCAAATTCATCCCTTGTGAACGTTTCACTAGTAAGTAAACCTTATTCGGACACGCACTCATTGTTGCAGCTACTTCTTGATATAACAGTTTAAGAACGAGCTACTGGCGACTACTCGGTTCGCAGATTCGTATTGCTCTCGTCTCTTCATGAGGGGAAGAAGTGACAGGAACTATCTTAAGAATGAAATAGGAATAACTTCTGCATGGCTTTTAGTCTCGTTTGTATTGCTGCAACGACGAGCTATTCCAGGACAAATTGAGCAGATAGATGTTTATGACTATGTTCTCGTCTATTAATTGAGCGTAGCTAATATGAGGCGAAGCCCTACGAAGTATTCGGCAAATAATGTTCCGATATTAACTTCACGTCAACTCTCATAGAAGCAATAACACATGTATCGTGACTGCTGCTTGACAAATGAGATAGCAGGCACCGCCAACTCACACAAACACGCGTCACATAAGTACTCAATGAGCAGCATTTAAATATGAGTCCAAACATTGGGAAATGCTCAACCATTACTAATCCAAAGTGTTGAACTGCATGCTCACTTTGACACACAGGCTGTAATACACGCATCGTAAATACTCCTCGACGCATATACCAATGACTACTACATACGTACTCACATGTGACATGCAAGCAGATAAAACGAGAATCAGTATAGCTACGACACGAAGCTGGAATGTGCGTTTTTTTGCTGTGGCATCTGTTGCGCATGCTGCAAACTATATTTCTGGCCGCAGAATTCAGCAATATGTACATAATTGCAGGGTTTTCGGCTTCCATACGCAACAGCACGTGATCACGCATGAGCAATTGCATGGCCGAGGCTGGTCCTAGGGGGAAGCTACCATGCACATAAAATGACTATATTACTATGTGCGCATACATGCGTGGAGCTACAAGGCTACATAGACAAACAGGAAGGCAGGCGGACAGACAGGCACACAGAGATACAGACACACAGACAGACACGCAAACATACAGACAAACAAACGGACGGACAGACTGCATAGTGTGCATCATACATATACATAACAACGAACTTAGGTGCATCATACACCGGTCCGTCGTGTTAGAAGCGCAGAAGCAATAATCGAGCAAGTCAGCCTCCGCGGATGTGCCACTGTCAATGTCTTGGCATCTCAGGCTCACGCTTGGCACATCCTTGGTGGCTTCTGCGCAGTACGAGACCTAGTTTACCGTTTTTGTGATGATAATGTTGCCAAGTTCTGGCCTGAATTGTACAGACTGGTGTGCTTCTGCAAGTACAATTCTCCACAGGTTTGTCCAGAATACTGCAACATAGCAACGTAGCTTGCTGCTTCCCATGCCTTCTCTGATTTAGGTGTGGAAGGTGCCACCCATGTGAAAAGAAGGAATCCTGCACTAATCTTGAGTCGGTGGCTATGATGCAGCTTCAGTGCAATCCAATTGTGACCTTTGGAAGAAGCCTCTTCGGAAAGTGAGATCTCCGGCAGATATTCAGGATCCCCTCAATGTCGGGTGTGCTCAAACCGGAGTATTTTTTTGCTACGAGCCAACCAATACCAGCAGGCACCCGCCGGCAACGATCCGAAGACAAATGTCATGCAGAAAGCGGAGCAGCTTTGAAATTGGTGTGTGGATCTGATGCTCAGTCGATCTGCTCTTGGTCGTGTCGTTCGGGGGGTTTGACTTTACTGCAGTAGCCGCAAGCGGCTGCAATGCAGGCAAGCCACCTCATGGCGGAATAGCCGCAGTAAGCACCGATCTCCAAGATCTGCGACAACGGGAGACTTCACAGGTGCGGGTGCGGGGCGCGTTCTTTGCGGGGCCATCATCTCGCAAATACACCTTCAATGCGAGGGACTCGAACGGATGCCAGTAAGGCTTTGGCACTCCAACGTGTGTTTCCACCCCTTGCATAATTGTTAATGGCTGCAAACTTGCGCCGATACCCGAGCCCACAACTGCTTCGATGAAGGCCGAAGGCAAACCGAGGATTCGCCGTTTTTGCATCTCTGTATTTCTGCTTCGCTTAAACTTGGCAATTTAGGGCTTTCTGATAATCTGCTGAAGCCTACCAAACCAGAATGAACATGATGGGCCAACTGTGGGGATAAGATGCTTATGTAGGCTCTTGCATCGACTTGAGCTCACGTCCAAACATGCCTAAGAAGCAGAGAAGGGAAACTGCTACCACTGGATGACACTATATTCTAATGCTAAAGTGCTTATACTGTGCACTATATCAGTTTATCAACTCAACTCATTAACCCCTAAATCCTAAACCCTCAGAAAACCCAACTCCATTCATGTCCACACAGTGGGCCCCAGACCTTGCCATCCACAGACCACGAAACGTCCTGGAGGGCCTTTCGGAGGACCTGTGCGCAGCTTGTCATGGAATCCCTCCTATGACTGGCGACTGATTGGGTTTCGGCGCTCACACTCGGACAATCCAGGCGAGGCATATGGTTTGGAGTCTGCGGTGTGAAACGGCACTAGAAGACATCGTCAGGGTTTAGGGTTTAGGGGGACCCACATAGGCTAGGACTTATAAAGGATGATAGCAAAGTGCGAGACTCTGCCCAAAGACAACCCCAAATCCTGAAACCGGATCCTCACGTCGAAGCTTCTGGAGCTCCAAGCGGGGACTCTAACCGATGGGATGCAGCACATCTCCGGATAGACTTATGCACGGCTTGGAGGATTTGGGGCTTTCGACTCACACACTCGCACAAGGCAGGCACGGCTTGAGGGATGTGGGGCATTAGGGGTTTCGGTCGCAGGGTTTGGACTGAACAGCCGTTTGGCACGTGGGATGTACAACTTTCTGCTGCTGCTGCGCTGGGTAAGCCGCATGGCAGGCTACTTGAAGGTTCAGGGTAGTTATAAGTAGGGTATCTATACTTATAACCCATATTAGGGGACATAACCCTACTTAGAGCTACCCATGAACCTCCAACTATGATCCTGGCAAGAGCAACCGAAGTGCACAGGTGTGACTCTGGCCAGCAAGCTGGACTCAAAAGTCCGAAGAACAGCGTCGTCCATCACGTGTCTATCGTCGCAGGCTCTTGTGTTTAAAGTTTAAAGTTTAGGCTTTGGGTTACAGGCCTTCTAGGGTTTGAAGACTGCAAATACAGGCTGTTGTACTGCACGATGCCTCGGGGGTCAAAACTAGCATCACACCTCCACCCACGATCCTACAGGCAATTCCTCCTATTGAGAAACTCAACTAACAGCTCTGCAGGGTCACCGGTGGATCTCGAAAGCTCACATTTATTGTGCAATGTGTTTGCATATTCTGGTGACATCCTGATTTCACAGCCGGCCCCATAACCAGGTGAGCGCCTCTGTTTGAGCGGCTGAATCCTCCGGCCTAGACACCAGTCCCGAGTCCTCTAACGGTGTGGGCAACATCGTGAAAAGCTTGCTGAAACTCCTGCCAACATTGAGCCTGGAGTATCAACTAAAGCGGAAACCTACAGCCTGAACGTCGGGTCTGCGTCAGCGCTGTCCCAAAACGCCGATCCTAAATTAGAAGGCCTCTATGCTCAGCACTGGGGAAGTGGTTAGGATAATCAAGCTTTCCCGGGTATAGTTAACTTGCCCCCCCTATGCCAAAGATCGCCTCAGCTTTGTCGCACGCCGCGATTTTCAGCCATCGCCCCGTCACAGGGCCACCTGGCACGACTGGAGACATCATAGACATCCAAAGGAGGCTCATACAGAAGCAAGGTGGGGTTATTACATTGCGAAATCATTGGGCAGATGCAGAAGGAGTTTGGCTTCGAGGGTGCTGTGCCGAGGGTTGCGCGGGCTTCGGTCTTGAGGTTAAGCCTACACAACATGCGGAAAGGTACTGCTTCAGGGATGTGCCAGGATCTCAGGCTGTGTGCGTGTGTGCGCGCAAACCCTGTTCCTCAGGCTCTTCGCGTCCTGCAGGTCGGGAGTTATTTCAGTAAATTCATGTCGATGCGGCTTGCAGGAGGCTGGAGTGCGGCACAGAAGTCTCCGGCCAACACAAAAACGCTATGTTTGTAGTGGAACAGTTCCTGCATGCTGCACCCGAGGAGTGTTACTCCAACCGGTGACCGTCTTGATCACATGTCTGTCCCATGTGTGCAATCCGAACTTCGCTGTTTCGACAAACTGCACTTAAGAGCATGTGGTGTTGCCTTGGTCAAACCAAAACACAGGAACTTCAATTGAGACTATAATATGGGTGCCTAAATAATTACCTACACTATATATTTTGGGGGTTCCTTATTGTTAGTATATTGGGCTCCAAATCCCCCTTCCAATCATTATTAGGCCCCTGTATTATAGGCATTATGCACTTAACTGCGGCAGCCTTCGAGCCGCTTTTGCAAACGCTTGCATGATTATGTGCATGTTTCGTCAAGGCTCTCAGTGCGTGCGATCTTTCAACGCGTGTAAACCTCGGTGGTACAGTACATGTCCATGATCAAAGTGATCTTTACCGGGCGGGATTTGGCGTTGTGGTTCAAGCCTAGACAAGCAGGGTGAGGTTTAAGGCGAACGACCATGATGGCTTTGACAAGAGTTAACCCTCACAACAACTGTCAGTGTGCGATTCTGCATTGTCTCGGGGAGCTCCAAAATCAGATAGAAGTCCGCGGCAAAGAGCGGCCTTGGAGAACATCTGTGCCGAAGCGCTCCTGAGCAAGATCTCGTGAGTCTTTACTGAGAGGGGGGAGTTCGGTCAGAAAAAGCAAAAACAAATAGAGATTTTGTCACGTAGGGCGTCCGTTGACTGCTCTCGGAGAAACTGTGTGATGTAGGCTTGGCATGCAGCTCAGAGCCCAGCGATCATCTCGCAAACCGAGTCCACATCCTAGGCGAGCACAAATCTCGCCTCTGAAATAATGCTGTCAGAAAGCTGTGCTAATGAAATGGCAAGTCACGGAGAATCCTTTTTGGAACCGGCACGCTGTGATCCAGACTCTTTCCTTTGCAGATAGCACCCCTGTGGCACGAATCAAGCTTGGTGGTCGTGGGCCCGGAAACCCCAACCCCTTTTGAACCATGGCCTGCTACGCGCAGAACATAGCGCCATAGTGGGAGGATTTCTCATTGCACACGTGTCTGGGGCCCACATGCTTTGAGCATGGCTTTTGGGCGTGGCACTTTGGTCACTTGCATGCTGATCGCTCATCAAACGTCGTCATCGTCAAAGTCATCTCCGAAGTCCTCGCGGGGTCCAGCGATGAAGGTTGAGCGAGAACCTATCGTCACCAACATTGTCATAGCAATAACTAACAACATCGACACCTTCATCCTCATCAACGCAAGCTCGCCATGCAGTCTCTATCACCACTCTTAGATCCACTAGCAAGATCTAGCAAGTAGCACTCAGGTCGCAGTCATTTCGTGGCAGGTGCGCTGAAGCAACCACCGGGTCTTTACACAAGAGTGAGCATGGCCGCAAGAATCTGAGGGCATGCTGCGAAGGCCACCCCAGGTGTGTAGGCTGTGCGCAGTAAAAGTCCTCTGCTGATACGACCATGGCGTGCCTTTTAGCTTAGACTGGATCTGAATCTATTGCAACTTCAAACTCTCATTGGAAAGCTGAGCCCGGAGTAGAAGAAAAGGAATCTCCGATCCATCCTTGTCGTATTCCTGGTGGACACGCTTCTCGAGTAGTGCTTCGAATGCCACATCTTCCTCGCATCGGCGTAGTTTCCACATTGTTGGAGGTTTGAGCACGTACGACGGTCCAGGCGACCCATACTGACGTTCGGTGCAATTGAACTTGCGGCTCAGCTTTCAGTCTTGTCAAGTCGCATGTCTTCTGGTGTGTAGCCGCGGTTTTCATCATCTCGGGACTTCTCCCTGGATCCCTATATGTGGCTGGATGACAAACTGTCTACACAACACAACAGGAAAGAACGTGTAGTTCTGCCTGGGTAAATGTGCAAGATGTGCGTCCGGTAAAGCGTCTTCGTATCCTCGCCACCACACGACCCTAGTTGTTCGCGTACTTCTCTGATCCACCATGAGAATGGCATGTTGACACAGAGCGCTGTAATTAGGCTCACGGCCTCCGAGCACATGTGCAGATACTTCAACACTCTGGGTCAAACACTGAACATGCGTTCTTACAACCACGGTTCGCAAACAACAAACTGCTGCAACATGTTGCCACCATCCTGCGTCTGTGTGTGTGTGAAGATTTATGCATGTTTGTATAGGTGTGTTTGAGTGTGCCGGCGCATGCTTAGCTCACGACATAAAACTCGTCTAGTTCTTGTATGAGAACATATACGGCTGGCTACATGTTAGTCACATGTTTTGTATGTATCTGCACATGTACAGCAGCAATTACAGCAGGAGCAGAAGCTGCAGAGCTCAAGGTGTCTGGACATCTTGCTCGATCGGATGCCACCAAGAATCATCTTCCTCCATCAGCCTGAAGGTTCAAGCACAGCCCTAAAGCATCCAACAAACTATGTGCCGTTCTCGGCCTTTGACCCCCAGGTGCATTCATGTTGAAGCCGTCTGCCCCCTTCCCTCTCGGAAGGGTTGAAGACACGACGTTCGGCAATCTGAGCTCAAGCACTCAATGCCTTTATACGGGTGATTGGCTGTCTCCTAAGTTTCGTAGAAACACTGAAGCCTTGAGCAAACCTTCACCTGCAAATACTGGGCAAGGTGTCACTTTCATCACCAGTCCGCTTTGAAGGATGATAGATGCATCCACCAGAGCTTCGTCGTTGCTCCGCAAGAACTGGAGCGGAAAACCAGCTAAAAGGCGATGCTTGCAAAGTCTTACGGGTTGAAGGTGACCGACCAATAGCTTCGGTAGGAGAATGAAGCAGATGGAATGACAACTTCCGTTGAAGCCGTAATGTCATGAAGCGCTTGCAGATTGTGCAAAGGTGAACATCACTGCAACCAATAGAAGCAATGCCTTTTGGCCTGGCGAAGTCCGAAGCTTCTGTTGCAAGTGAGGCCTGAAGCCGCCTTTCCGAAACCATGCAGATGGCTTCCAACCACAAGCCTGAAAACGAAGGCCCTACAGATTTACTATTATTCTTACTATTCTTATAGTTACGATTCTTATGATTACTACTGCTATGATTACTATGATTATGATTCCTGCACCCTGAAGTCTTCCGAGGAGCTGCTCTGATGGGCCCATCTGGGCATCTTCGGTCGCCTACCGAGTCTTGAAGACTTCCATCCAAGGATCTTACGTGGTTCCGGGTTCAGTGGCAGTAGTAAGTCTGTTTGAGCGTATCAGTGTGAAGAAAACAATCGGATCGACCAGTGGCATGATGATCAACCGACTTTCCGTGCACTCTGACACTTCCGTCCATAAGACTATCGATCCTAGCACAAACCCGAATCCCGACACTCGGTGGTCACGTCGTCGCTTCGTGCGAAGCGGACCGGTCTGCGACATTGATCACGAATCCCAATTTGTTACAGAGGCACCAAGAGCACCTATAAGAACCTATAGTTACCTAGGTCGAAGCCAAGCAATTATGCACACCGCTCCTTTGGTGGGCACATCCTCGCAGCACCCTTGGGACGCTCGATCGAAAGTAAACGGCACAGTCTCTCCCTTTGCCCGGAAACCCTGATTGAACTATTCCGCTCCCATGTCAGCCCACTGCTTCCATCCCTAAACCCTAAACCGCATGTCCCCGCGCCATCGCAGTGTCAGCATCCTGCGCGGGTGCTGCCTCGCGGCCACGGCGAGGGGCGCCTTCACCATGATGCTGAAGAAACTCGCATGGCTTCGGGCTTAAAGGGTTCTTTACCAAGATTCTGACCTTTCCTTCATGGGCCTTGGCATCCAGGTAATTACTGCCTCGTGGCACCTCACAATGATGCATTGGACCTCTCTTTTGACACGTTCGCACATTAAGAGTCTGTCTATGGAAACGCACCAGGTCGCCACGGGCTGCCGGAACACACTGTTCAAGGCTTTCCCCAAATCCCCTCAGGCTGTTGAAAACAGGCCCTAGATCCGCGTGATCGCGGCTGGCCCTATAAACCCGCATGGTTGTGGCTGACAGTTGGCAGCTGTGGCATCCTGGAGCTATACACTTGGCCGTACCTCTGGTTCAAACGGGGCTGCGGCCCCTTGGAATCTGGTGTCTAGAGATAATGTCGTTTGCCTGACTCTAAACCCTGAGTTCCGCAGCCCAAGCATTTCGTCTTAAAATGAAGCATAACCCAACAGGTCATTGTGAACTTAGCTTGAAGTCCCTTCTTGAAGAACTGACAAGCTGGGCTCAACATGCAAACTTATTGGCTTTTTGAGAACATGCGCATGATTCGGGACGAGTCTGCGATGGCTACAGCTTATTGCAAAGTGATGTCCATGCTTTGCAGCTGTCCGATTGTTCCTAGGAAAGACTTGCTATACCCATTGGCTTCGTAGTAGTTCCTTTTGGGGATCACCTCATAGGATTCAAAAAAATGAACCCCAAAAAGGAACTACTATGGAGCCTATGAGTGCAGGCATAGAAATCTTGATTACTTGGATGCTCTGCCGCCGCTGTCAGGCCACCATCGCCTTTGGGCAGCCTCTGACCTGTCGGGCCATGATATTTGTATGCACCTGCCGCTGTGTGTATGTATGTATGTATGTATGTATGTATGTATGCAGTATACATATGTGCGTGGGTGCTGTTGTATGAATATATATATATATATATATACATGTAAAGATGAACATAGTGTAATTGTCATTTGCTTGTTACCCGCGAATGGTGTGCATCTGTGCTCGCACTGCTCTGGCCCGTTGTACTTTGGAGACTGTCTTGACTATGCGTGCGGCACTTATGTACCTGACGAATTTCCTTCGTGCAAGCTGCCATGCTGTTGTACATCAACGTGCTGCTTGATCGCATTGTCACATGTTGTGAATTTAAGCTCCCGCTCGCTGGGTCCTGTAGGTGCGGTGGCGCTGCGATCCGAGTTACGAGCATGTTTGGCTGTTAATCAAGAGAGGCGTCACGAAACACAATTTCCAGCTTTGTCGCTCAGCTCGCTGGGCATGTCGTACAAATCTTTGTTGTCACTACAACTCAGACGTGCCTGCGAGGATTCAGCCATCCTTCAGCAAGGTGTCCGGCCACCGGGACAAGGTACCCTTCCTTGGACATGGCTCTCGGTTTGAGGCGTGATGAACACCTAACCAGACTTGGCACTTCGACTCCAACTACCACTCTGTAACAGTTAAGACGACGCATGTCCCAAACTTGTTGGATCGGCGAGAATCTTCTTGAGGTGGATCATGAGCGCTTTGTTGCCGTCGTCGTCCTGCAAGGCATGATTTTCAAGCTCCCCCGGTTCCATCCACGACTCAGGATGTTTAGGGCCCCAAAAAAGCACATAAGCAAAAATTAGGATAGGGATATCCCATATAAACCCCCTTATAAAGAAGCTCAATATCCCTAAACCCTAAACCCTTATAAAGAAGCCCAATATCCCTAAACCCTAAACCCTTATAAAGAAGCCCAATATCCCTAAACCCTAAACCCTTATAAAGAAGCCCAATATCCCTAAACCCTAAACCCTTATAAAGAAGCCCAATATCCCTAAACCCTAAACCCTTATAAAGAAGCCCAATATCCCTAAACCCTAAACCCTTATAAAGAAGCCCAATATCCCTAAACCCTAAACCCTTATAAAGAAGCCCAATATCCCTAAACCCTAAACCCTTATAAAGAAGCCCAATATCCCTAAACCCTAAACCCTTATAAAGAAGCCCAATATCCCTAAACCCTAAACCCTTATAAAGAAGCCCAATATCCCTAAACCCTAAACCCTTATAAAGAAGCCCAATATCCCTAAACCCTAAACCCTTATAAAGAAGCC